CTTTAGAGATTGTGCCATAAGTTAAAAAAAAAAAGTTCTCTCGGTAACTGGCTTTTCTCCGTTTGGATTCTGTGCTAAGGCAATGACCGTTTCCCTCATGTATCCTTGTCAGCATGTTTGAGACAAGAAAAGCCCTGCTACTCCACCTCCCCCGTTCCGACAACACACCCACTAGAGCCGTCTCTGGATCCCCCTGCCATTTTAGCCTTTGGGGTGGGAGAAAACTTATCAGTGTTATTTATTTATACCCCACCTTGTTGTAAAGACACGGCGTGCCAAGTAGACATTTTGGTATCACAAAATAAATGTGAAGGACAATGGAAAAAGAAAACAACAGCAGGAAAATAAGGTGGGTTTAGCAGTGAGTTTAATTCTCAAAATGCAGGTCAGAAAGACTATACCCCCTCTTAGATGGGGCGGGTGGGGGGGAAGGAGCATGAATTTGGCTCTACCTTGTCTAGCAGCTAACACCAAGGAGGAGTGTGGTCAAATGGGGAATTGATGGGGTCCATGTGGGAAAAGCACCATCTGCTCAGGAGAAGCCCAAAGACCAGGGAGAAATCTCCCCTAAATACCTTTAGAGACAGGATCATGTGTAGTGGAACTAACATCTTCAACAACATTGTTACAGTGAATAGAATGATGAATTTCATGGTGAGAACTGGGGACTCAGGGAAGGAGGGAGAAGAAGAAGGAAAAGGGAGGGAATCTGGGAGTGTTTGTGCCTAATCAGCAAAAGGGAGGTATGATTTAATTTTCTAAGAATTACAAAGCATTTGTCTTCCTCCATCCCTAACCAGGCTAAGCACGGTCACTGGGAAAATTTAAGATTTGTTCTTTTCTTGGGAAAAAAAAAATAACTGGATTTCCCCGACAGACGGAGAAGACCAGATAATAGCCAAAATCGTCGAGCTGCTGAAATACTCAGGGGATCAGATGGAAAGAGAGGTATGGAGCTTGGACTAACGGTTTGTTTCTGTGCCCGTGCGCTGGCACATGAGAACTGACTTGTAGGCCTTGTCGACGTTCTGGTTTACACAGAGTCCTACATTTTATTTCCCTTGGAATCAAAATTCTTCATTCTGGCAGCGTCTCAAAAATGAATCACTTTGGAAAACATAACTAAACCTCCTGGAGCCTCCTTGGAATTTCTGGAAAGGAGAAAAGTAACTTTGTTATTGTAAGAAAAGACACCAATAAATTACAGATTCGCTGCATAGAATGCTGAGCCTAGCTCCCCATGTAACTGATCCTCGGGGAAGTTTAGACTCTTGTGTTGGCCCTGCAGCCTGGATATCTGTGACCCACAGCTGCTCGGGCCAGGAGCCTCCTCTGAAATCTCCCCCGAGTGGCTGGACTGTTCTCTGCTCCAGGGCTCTTAGCAATTCGGCTGGGGAGGCCGGTTAGTGTTACTTGGAACTTTGGATTTCCTGCCATTTAGAAGTCGAGACCCGCCATTCCAATGAGAAACATGTGAGAGGCGCCTCCAGATGAGGAGGTGGTGAGCAGGCTCCCCCTGTCCGCGGAGGGCTTCTGAGCGTCACCTCCTCCATGCCCGCAGGGTGCCCAGCTGTCTCTAGGGTCTGTCAGTCAGGGACTAGCCTGGGGACCTGGTTCCTTGTTTGGCCAGGATCCCTGGGGAAGAAGTCCGGCCCAAGGGGCTTCTGCAGGAGGGGGCATGGCCCTGGCCACCCCAGGCACAGAGCTCTGTGCTGCTCTCTCAATGCCATTGTCGGACGGGTGCCCGGAGGATGGTGCCCAGGGAGCTGAAGGACATGAGAGATGGTGCAGAAGGAGACACAATGAGAAAACCAGGGATCTGAGACTAAAGAGAAGGGGTGTATGAAGGTCAGGGCCACAAGTAGGGGGTGAACAGGGGTGCAGAGGAAGCAGAAAGTAGAACATGGTACAGGATTTAAGGACACCCCTGCGCTTCTCCAGCACTAACATCAGTGGGTAGGAGTTGCAGGGCAATGGGGATCTCCCCATTTTAAGAATGACCTTTCCAGCGCTTGCGGCTGCCTCAGGAAGGGATGGTCTTCCTGTCACTAGAAGAATTCAAGTAGATGCCAATAACCGGGCGCAGTTCAGTTCCTGAACTGGGAGGGCTCCACCACAGGACCCCGAGGGTTCCTCACAGCTCGAAGCTGGTGGCTCTCGTGCAGCCTCCTTCCAGCGGCCTTAGCAGTGACCAGCAGCAGGTCAGGGAGGCCAGGGCTGGGAGGCAGGACGAAGGCAACCCCTCTCGTTATGAGCAGAGATGCTTTTCCTTTCCTCCACAAATGACCACTGAAAAAAAACTCACTTTGATACACTCTCTTGATGATTTGAGATGATACTTGGCATTATTTATGTAGAGCACATGGCTCCTTCCAGCGGCCTTAGCAGTGACCAGCAGCAGGTCAGGGAGGCCAGGGCTGGGAGGCAGGACGAAGGCAACCCCTCTCGTTATGAGCAGAGATGCTTTTCCTTTCCTCCACAAATGACCACTGAAAAAAAACTCACTTTGATACACTCTCTTGATGATTTGAGATGATACTTGGCATTATTTATGTAGAGCACATGGCTGTTCTATACACACACACACACACACACACACACACACACAGTGGAGCCTTGACTTATGAGTTTAATTCGTTCCGTGACCGTAACTCAAATTACTCGTATGTCAAATCATTAAAGTGAACGAGTGAGACACGTGATGCTGGTCTGATATTGTGGCATTCACTGTGACGTTCGCTGAATTCAGGCTTTCACATATGTAACAGTTTTTAAAAAAATGTATTTTTTTATTTCAGAAAAGAAGGGAGAGTTAGAAACATGAATGATGGCCTCCTGCACACCCCCTACTAGGGATTGAGCCGGCAACCTAGGCATGTAGCCTTGACCGGAATCGAACCCAGGACCCTTCAGTCTGCATGCAGGCCGACGCTCTATCCACTGAGCCAAACCTGCTAGGGCTGGTTGTTGTTGTTTTGTTTGTTTGTTTGTTTTATGTGGTTCCCCAGTAGAGAACTCTGGCAGGAACACATGAAAGGTCTGACTTGTGCTGTGGGGTGTGAGTTCTCACCAGACCGGGCAGTGACACCGGGGAGGGCCTGCCCTGGCTGCAGAGGGTCTGCAAAGCCGCTCATCCCTGGAGCACCTGCAGCCTCAGCTGTACCTCCCCGTGAGGCCACAGAGCCAGCTGCACGGAGAGAGGCAGGCGAGGGGCAGGGAGGAGGCAGGATGCTCCTTGGAAGGTGTTCGGGGCATTTGGCTCTTTCACTGTCTGGCAGAGTCCAGGCTCCCAGCGTCTGCAGAGGCCTGGAGTCTAGCTTCTTCAGCTGGGTCACTGATTAGCAGGAGTCCATTCTTGCTGTGGGGTGTGAAGGACGGAGGTCGTTCCTGCTTCAGATTACAATAGGCCCCTGACATCTGGATGTCGGGGGTGGTAACGGACGCTGCTCCACCAAAATCTTCCCACAGCCTGACGCATCCCCAGAATATCCCTCTTATAAACAGGGTTTGTTGAAAACCTGCTCAGCTCATTCCTCAGGCACAGAGCTAGAGAATGTTCAAGTAAACATTTAGCCCCTGCTAAGACATTGCTGTTTTCACATGACAACCACCATCTTAATAGACGTTGCAAGGATGGCTTTAAATCAGGATGATGTCTGCCTTGGTGACACAAGTCCCGGGTTTTTCAAAAGAAGCAGAAGCAATACTCGTGTTTTTGGTTAAAGGTGTGGAAGTCCAAAGAAGGTGGAGCAGAAAGACAGGGGGAGGTAAAACAGAATGAGCAGAACCACGGAAAGGCATCCATGAATTCAGTCTGCTGGTCTGTTCTCAGTGAACATATGCCCTCAGGGAGTTCTCCCCGCCGCCCCTGACCTCTCACAGCATCCTGAAAAATTACTGATGTTCCAAGCACACTTCTTCACGCGGGGCACTGCACTAAGCGTTCTACTCAATTACCCTGTAGTACAGTTACTGTCATCATCCCGGGTAGAGGTGACAAAACTGGAGCCGAGAGGTAAAGTAATTTCTCCAAGATTGCACAGCTAGGAGGAGCTAGAGCAGGAGTTTGAACCAAGACAGTGGTTTCCAGGCTCTGGATTCAGTCCCTAACACGACCTTGGGACTGAATGGCCTTGGATTGTAATCGTCACTAGACTGGGAGGCCCGAGAGAGGGCCTGGGGCTCAGTCATACACATTGTAAGCACTCCAGAAACATTCCTTGAATGCGGAATGAAGGCACTGATTTGTCCCATGAAATGAATTCACAGAGCAGGCGCAGGCCTGGTCCACTTCTGCAGGACCTTGTGCTGGGGTTGAACTGGAATCCCGGGTTTTCCAAGGGTGTCGTAGTGGCCCCCTGTTGAGCGAGGGGGTCTGTCTGGCTAGGCCAAGCTGCTCCACTGAATGCTTCTCCTCTTGCACGCAGCTGAAGAAAGACAAGGCTTTGATGAACAGCTTCCAGGACGGGCTGTCCTACTCTGTTTTCAAGACCATCACCGACCAGTTCCTAAGGGGGATAGATACCAGAGGAGAATCAGAGGTCAAAGCTCGGGGCTTTAAGGCTGCTCTTGCCATCGACGTCGCCGCCAAGCTCAACGCCATTGACAACCACCCCATGAACAAGGTGCTAGGCTTTGGAGCCAAGTACCTGAGAGAGAACTTCTCGCCGTGGGTGCAGCAGCACGGTGGATGGGTAAGTGCACACTATTTACCGGAGGATCTTCCCAGATCTCAGAGGAGATGGGAAGGGACGTTTGAAGGTTTTTTTTAAAAAGCGAAGGGAACGCATCTGTGAAGCAGTTCTCATGGGTTTAGGACACTTGAGTGGCAAGAGATAGATCCCATTGATGGGAACCTATTTTTAGTGATTATCTTCATCGCCAATAAATATTTACTGAGCTCCCAAAGGGTACATGGGGTATGTGTGTCGGGGGGGAGAGGGACTGGGCAGATATCACAGGAAATGAGGAGATGTTGAAAGATGAAATGTTTAGATAGATATCATTTCTGTGCTCACAAATGTTGCAGGCAGCGGACGTCTGGCAGTGAGTCAAGGAGAGGCAGGCCGCTCCTCATCTTCTCAGATGCTAAGAGTGTGGGGGGAATCCTCAGGCAGAGATTCAGGGTGACAGTGACATTTTTGTCATTACTGCTTTGACCCAGAATTTTGACAGGGACATTTTGATACAAACTAAAAAGCAAACAGTGAAATTTCCATGTTTTAAATAACCTGATATTAAACAAAATAGATATCTTCACACACACACACACACACACACACACACACACACACACACACCACGCCTCAGCCTCAACCCCTCCCTCATCCTTTATCCCCATTCCTTGAAATTTCCTTCAAACTTTCATGTTCAAATGGCCTCATCAGGTCAACCTGTCAAAACGCTTTGCTCGGAGCTTTAAATTTCAGAAGATAGGCCTTTGCCCCATGTTGTCACGGTTGTCATCGTTAGTTCTTTTTCCGCTAGAATGCTCCAGGGCCAGGAGCAGGGTTGAGTCTCTTTGAGGCACAGCCAGCCTGACCCTGGGGCCTTCAAACAGGCGTAGTCTCTCAGAAACCAGGGAGAACGTACCGCCAATCTTGCCTAAGGGACTGAAGTGCCCTCCATGGTTTTCAGTGAATGCCCACTGAGCTACCCGTCTTCTGTTCTTGTCTATTTCCCACCTTTGTACCAGATATGGCTGATTTGAACAACTAAGGCCCTTAAGTGTTCTAAATTCAAGCTGCCTTCACTCATGCTAAGGGGATAGAGTTCTGGACATTATTGCAGCTTATTCTTTCTTCCAGGCCGCCCCACCCCCATCCCCACCCCCCCCTCCCGCTGGTCCCTCCTCTGCCCCAGAGCCTTTCCCCACCACTCCAGCTCAAGATCCTCACCAGCCTCTGAAGCTCTCATAACCCCTCATGTTTGCACTATCATTATAGACCAGAAATCACCATCATTTTTCCAGAGAGATTATAAGTATCCATTGGGCTCACAGACCAGTTCTCAAAAGTCTATTTAGTTAATGTAGCTGAAATGCCAAAAGTGTTCTATAAACAATGGTGGTTCCACACGAAAAGCACAAGCAAGAAAAAAAAATACATTGGACTACATCAAAATGAAAAAAACGTACCTGTTTTAAGAGCCATCATCAAATGAAAAGACAACCCATGTAATTGGGGGAAAAATATTTGCAAGTTGTATACCTGATAAGAGACTTGTATTCAGAATGTGCAGTGAACTCTTAAAACTCAACTATAAAACGACAAATAACCTAATTTTTAAAATGGGTAATAGATTGAATAGACATTTCTCCAAAGAAAATATACAAATGGCCAATGAGCATCTGAAAAAAATATTTGCTTGACATCTTCACTTCAGCATTAGGGAATTGCAAATCCAAACCACAATGAGATGCCATTTCACACCCACTAGCATGGCTAAAATAAAAAAGACAAGTGTTTATGAGGACAGGAGAAATTTGAACCCTCATACATTGCTGGTTGGATTCTAAAATGATCCAGCCCCTTTGGAAAATGATTTGGCAGTTCCCCAAAATGTGCAACATAGACTTACCAGTTCCACTCTTTGGTACATATCCAAGAAAACTGGAAACAAATGTTCCCATAAAAAACTTGTACATGAGTGTTCATAGCAGCATTCATTATTTATAAGCCGAAAGAGGCAAGAACCCAAATGTTCATCAATAATGAATAGAAAAACCAAGTGTGCATATTCAAACGCAAGAATATTATTCAGCCCCAAAAAGGAATGAAGTACTGACAGATGGATGAACCTTGAAACCATTATCCTAAGTGAAAGCAGTCAGACAAAAGGGCCATCTATTGTATGATTCCATTTATATGAAATGTGCTTAACAGGCAAATCCATGGAGACAGATTAGTGGCTTCCTGGGGTTTTGGGAGGAGGGGATGGGGAGTGACTGCTAATAAATAGGAGTTTCTTTTTTGTTTTTAAATCTATTTTTATTGATTTTTAGAGACAAAGGTAGGATAGAGAGATAGAAACATTGATGAGAGAAACATCATTGTGGCTGCCTCCTGCACACACCCTACTGGGGGATTGAGCTTGCAACCTTGGCATATAGGCACAACGCTCTAACCAACAGAGCCACTGGTCAGGGTGCTACCATGAGATTTTAATTTACTCCTTGGCCCTTTTTCCTCACCCTTGACATAGTTACCCCGAGGTCCTGTAACCTCACACATTCTCTAGCCCTCTGAAAGGAGGAATTTGTAAAAGAAAGTCATCAATCCTTTCCTATCTACTCTTTTGAATGTTAAATAACAGCATCAAAGCCTTTTCCTATCTAGCCTGTTAGCCCTGGGTATGTAACCTAAGTCCTTAGCTCCTGGTTTCCTTTCAGGCATACCAAGGATGCCAGCCACCTTCCCAAACCCTCCCCCAACCCTGCTATGGTCTCTGATCCCAGGGTCATCCCTGGGAGAAGAGAGCAGAGTTAACAGGCGTATGTTTTCACTAACTTGGAATTTTAAGAATCTATTTCTCTTTTTCCCCCTCCAGGAAAAGGTACTTGGGATATCCCTTGAAGAAGTAGACTGAAACATCAGAAGATGCGTAATCCAGAAAACTCATTGGCCGGCTGTGTCCTGTGTACATGGGTCTCAGCATAGACTCCAGGAGAAAATGCAAGTGCACAAGGCAGATGGTGCATTGTTCTCGTGAACCAAGATCACCAGGAGAGGCCTCGTTTATGTCCAGCTCACAGGCGGAGGTAGCATGGCCTTGCCGCCCATGTTCTTCAGGCCCTCCACTGAGTGTGTGAGGAAATCCAGAAAGATGTGGTAATTCCATTATTCAGAACAGACACCGCCATCCTGCCTCTGTGGTCACCATAGGGAAAGTGTGTTATTCTGACCTCACGAGGGCGCAATGATAAACTGCATGTGCCTACACTTTGGTTTCCGGTGCTATTTATTTTAAAACCACAGTTGGTACAGCCTAATGACATTGTTGCAAGCCCACCTGTAGGAAGATGCTGCTGTTCATGTTAGTAGACATAGCTCCAGAGAGACTGAAGTGTATCGCTAGATCCACTAGTTGGGGGAAATGCTACCATATCTGCCTTTTGGACTCACTTTTCTGGGAGAATTCTTTGGTGGCTTGAAAAAATTCCATTTGGCAGAACACAATTACTCCTCCTGCCCTCACCTCTCAGTGACCCTGCCTCTGACTCTCAAGGTCTTTGGGACTTTATTATTTTTTATGGGAATGTAATGATTAGTAGCTGGTAAAATAAATATGTGGAAAGACCACTGTCATTAAGAGTATCTTGTGGTTAAAATAAGCAGTATGTAATAGTACAAAAATTTCTGTCAGGATCAAATGAGTTAATTTACATGAAGTGTTTACAATAGTGCTTGGAACTTAGTGCCAAGGGTTCACGCATGTTCCCTGCTATGTGCTGCCCAGAGCTAAACTGGAAATTTTCTCTCCCCTCGAAGCAGTCACTGGTTGTTTCCCTGAAAACGATACTCTTCAGAATGAGGTCTTCCAATATGTCCCATAGAAAGTATTTAAGACATACAACGTTTTAAAACACATTCAAATTATAGGGTCGTACAAATTTCTGGATCTCTGGCACTCAACACGGAGCCTGACATGAAATAGGCATTTAATAAACCTTTGATGAATAAATAAATGACTGAGTTATTCAGATATATTTGCAACTACAAGGGAAAAGTGGAACAATCTATTACCACATGCTGCACTGCCCAACCCATCTCAATTAAAGTGAGTTATTCTCTGTCTTCCCCTATACTGAAAGTCATAAATGTTAGGGACAAAGGAGTCTCCTTTTACAAATGGAGATACTGGAGACCATCTCCTCTCCCACTTTGATCCAAGCATTTCAAACTATTTGCAGCTCCCCACGTGTATTATGCAATCTTAGTCCAGAGGCTTGAGAACAGTATTTTCTCCATTTGAAGTGCTCTTGCCTGCTGGTCCTCCTTCCCCTATTTCCACTAATTCACCTGACTCTCCCATCTTCCCCAATTCACTCCTCCATTTCCTCCAGGAATCATCTGTAACTCTCTTGGCCTCCAAGGGGCTACATTTGGATGCCTTTCCTCATTAAGAATGCTCCATAACACCTGTACATGGACAATATACTTAATACATTGTCCCATAAGAATCAGCCGTTCACACTGGATTGCAAACTTTCGTAGACAAGTATTACGGCTAATTTAATTTTGCATACGTAATGTCTGGCATATTTTCAGTACACAATTGCAGAATCATATCCTAGCCTTACTGCTGTATCCTGTAAATCAGTAAAATTGGAGTATGGCCTATGGTATATGTAGTTTCAACAAGCTCTTCAAGTGTTCCAATATCGTCTACAGCTTCCCACTAAAATGAATAGTAACTGAATTTAATCTCCTGCTTAGAACAAAAAATAAAAAAACAAAATATATGAAAGAATAGTTAAGACACTGTGCATCAGGCAATGGAGAACTGGTCCCTGAGAGATGAGAACAAAGTGAGGCCTGTGCTTGCTCGCCCGAGAATACTGCAGGTAAAGCATGTTCAGGCTGTGCTGGAAGGAGGGGAACCCACACAGGGCTCAGCAATCTCCCTGAATAGAGAAAATAGTGCCTAGGAGTCCAGGAAGGCCAAGGTAGCTAAAGTTTGCAGGGCAAATAATGGAGAGAAGAGAATTGCACAAAAAGCTTCAGAGATCTAGATAGGTCTCAAATTTTGAGGTGAATACTGAATAACTCATGCATATAAAGACATTGCCCAAGGCTTTGAAAAAGAACATCTGAAAATATTAAGGGACCACTCTCCAAAACTCACACAGGTTTGGGAGCAGTGTCTATTTCCACTATCCAGAATGGAAAAACCTCAAAATTTGTATGGCAATAGGTAAAATACTCAGAAGAATTTTGCCTCAGTAATGGGGGAAAAATTAGCCCTAAACTAAATATACTTCTGGTTCTGCCCAACATAGGTGAAGAGCAAGAACCAAAAACTGTTACCAAGTAACCTAAAGGTCTTCCAGAATATAGCTCAAGAATCCTTATAGGATCACAAAAATATCCAATACTTAACACAACATTGCCAATGTCAGGCATCCAATTGAAAAATCACAAGAAAAAAATGAGACCAATAATGAGAAAAATCAAGAAATGGCATCCTGGAAATGATACAACCGATAGAATTGCTAGGCAAGAGCATTAAAACTATTAATATTCCATATGCTCAATAAGTCAAAGGAAAGAACTTCTGAAGTCCACACAGAAATTATAAATATGATTTAAATCAAACTATTGGAGAAGAAATGAAAAAAGTAGACCAGACTGGGTTAACAGCAACTACACATTGTAGGAGAACAGAAAAGTAAATTCAAAGACAAAAGAGAGAAATAAGACTGGAGGAAGAAAAAACAAAGCAATAGTGAAATGTGGACTGACTTCTACCAGCCAATATATGTGTAACTGGAATTAAAAATTTCAAAATCTTATGAAAAACATAAGCTCACAGAACCAAGAAACTCAATGAATGCTAACCACACAAAAAAAACATATAGAAAACTACACTAAGGCACATCACAAGTTGCTCAAAATCAGTGATTACAAAAAATCTTGAAAGTAGCCAGAGAAAAAGGCACATTACACATTCAAAAACAAACAAAATGATAGCAAACTTTTCTTGTGAAATAATACAAGACAGAATAAAATCTTTAAAGCATCAAGAGAAAAAAGATTGTCAACACAGAATTCTATACCCAACAAAAAGATGTTTTAAGAAGGAAGGTGAAATCACGACTTTATGAGATATATAAAAGCTAAAAGAATCCCTCATCAGAATAAAGAATACGAGGGGTTAGCAAAGAAGCTAGGTAGCCCTTGCCGGTTTCGCTCAGTGGTTAATGTGTTGGCCCGTGGACTGAGAGTCTAGGGTTCGATTCCTAGTCAAGGGCACGTACTTTGGTTGCAGGTTCCATCCCAGGTCTGAGTCCAGTAACATGGGGGAGGCAACCAGTGGGCAACCAGTAGATGAGTTTCTCTCACATTGATGTTTCTCTCTTTCTCTCTCTCTTACCCTCCTCCCTCCTTCCCACTCTCTCTTTCTCTCTAAAGATCAATGGGAAAAAATATCCTTGGGTGAGGATTAAAAAAAAAGAAGCCAAGGTAAACTCTCTGATGTGAAAGTATCTACTAAGGAAAGACCTTTATATTAAAACTTGGTTTTCATTAATCACCTATTTGAGCTCAATCACTAATAAGGTTGTATTTCATTTGAAATAAAGGTGGGTTTTGGTGTGTCTGAAACACAGTGGTTGTGTATCACGGCAAAGCCCAAGCAGCTGGTTTTAATTTCTTGCTGAAAAGAAACACTTTTATTTTCCACTGTTTTATTATAAAAATCAACATTTCATTTGTTACAACTCAGCTTATTGTAATAATCAAAAGGGGGATTTATACAAGGTATCTTTATACAGTTTACAATTAAAGCTCTTATTTTACAAAAAGGGGGAACTGAATAGTGGACAAGGGCTGACCAAATGTTGGCCATTAAAATATATAAATACATCCTTGCAAAGCACCATCGTACCAAAGTCCATGGACAAGAAACACCAGCTGACTTTAAGACAAAACGAAGATTAAAGCTTAAGAAAAAATTTAAAACACATAAAGGATAAACATCTGAAAGCAGCACCAGATCCTTCACTTGCAAATAAGGCTATAGTCCAGCTCAAGCTTCTCAGTATCCTCTTTACTCTAAATTTTCCTCACTGACCCCAGATACTTAATTTCACATAACATTACATTTAATCAGACTCTCTTTGCTTTATTTTCCTTTTAAAACCCATATTAAAGGAATGGTCATATATACATATTCACATACATATATATGCATCCCTACCCTGATTATATTTAATTTAAAAAAGAATGGACAGTTAGGCAAAAGCAGTTCTCTATAATTGTTTGGTGTTAACTTTTAGGCAAATCCTAACTAATGGCGGGGGGGTGGTGGGGGCGTTTTTGTTAGTTCTATATGGTTAGTTTATAATTCTATCTGTAAAGTCATGAATATTTCTTTCAGCGGTAAACTTCATGTTAAACCAACGCCTTACAAAAAAACAGATACAGAGTGAAGTGTACCTGCACTGAAGAAGGGTGAGGATAGTAATTTTACTCTGTATCAGTGGTTCTCAACCTTCCTAATGAAGGACAGTTAAGCTTAAGTAAACTTTCTTGACCCTTTAATAAAGTTCCTCATGTTGTGGTGACTCCCAACCATAAAATTATTTTCATTGCTACTTCATAACTGTAATTTTGCTACTGTGATGAATCGTAATGTAAATATCTGATATGCAGGATGTATTTTCATTGTTACAAATTGAACATAATTAAAGCATAGCGATTAATCACAAAAAATATGTAATTATGTATGTGTTTTCCAATGGTCTTAGGTGACCCCTGTGAAAGGGTCGTTTGACCCCCAAAGGGGTCACGACCCATAGGTTGAGAACCGCTGCTCTAAATAATCTAGATTACCCTAAAAAAAATCTACCTCCCCCCTCTACTCATGTCGTTTTAGTTTAATAAAACACAGAATTAAGATAAATACCCTGAGCATATAAATTTACAATACTCATAATTTCAAAATTATAAATGTAAAATGACATATTTTAGGTCCAAATTCTGTCTAAAACATTGAAAATTTCAAGAGCTAACTTTTCAGACTATTATGAAATGATGCCATTCCAGAAGACAGAAACCACACATGCACCAATACTTTCTAAAATCATTTGTTATTTCTCTTGGCTCATTTTAGGCTTGGGATAAGGAAAGTAATTCAAATAAAATTAAATTTCTTTAGTTTAAAAATTCTGAGAACGTGTTTTAAACAAATTTGATTATAAACTTCTTTATGACTCAGTTCATGTCTACACCTAGTGTACAGTCTCATTTGTAGATGTCCAAATATTTGTCAGCTGACTAATATTTACATACTCATATGCACAGTCCACACTATATAACTTAATAAAGCATGACATATTTGGGGTTTGAAAAGCCCAAGATTTCTGTTTCTGAATTTTGTTAGATGTGAAATGGTAACCAATATGCAGATCTTATAGCATGCAAACCAATGGAGTGGCAAGAGATAAAACAATCTTAAAACTGCATGTCTAAGCATCTAATCTAGACACAGGACTAGACAGGGAACAGCAGCAGTACATCTATTGCAGAGGAGCTTCAGGAAAACCCCTCTAGTACCAGAAGTAAACAATGTCTATCATGATTATTGGTATCAGGGCACATATATATATACAGTTTATTAACAGGCCAGGTAAGCTGCAGCTACTAACTGTACCTGAAGTATTCTTCATTAATGGGCCTTTACAGCAAATGGGCCTTTCCCCCAAAACTAAACCAATAAAAATGGAGGCTATTTTTATATCCTAATATCGAATGAATTGGCCCTATACAAATTATTGACTTAAGAGAATTTTTAAATGAACAAATGCAATCCTCAAACATCCTAAAATTTTACTGCTCAAACCACCCCACCTCTGACTTATCCTCCGGTACTAGATTTCTAAGTACATAACATCCATTTAGAATAGTTGTTAAATGTATTAACGGTTCAGAGCAGAACTCCTCAGACCACTGTTCAGAAGACCAG